TAGAGGCAACCGCTCGAACAATTGCTTTGAGCTGCAACCAAACCACTATCTCAGGTTCTTCTTCCAGGAACGCGTCTTCTCGTACGCTTCTCCTACGTTCTATTTTTTCTTGAATTATGAGTCTCAAGATGTTGTATCTTTCGCTTCTCATCACATGTCCGAGATATTGCAATTTCCTTTCTTTTATTGTATTTTCCATTTCCCTCTCTCTGCCTATTCTTCTTAACACTTTTGTATTCGTGACTCTATGTACGCATGGAATCCTTAACAATCTTCTAAATGTCCACATTTCAAACGCGTTAAGTCGATTTGTTGTATTCCGGTTAAATGTCCATGATTTAGCTCCATAGTAGAGTACACTGTGTACATAGCTTTTAATTAACCTTATTCTGAGGGCCAATGTCAGATCTTTGTTGCATAAAATCTTTTTCATTTTCATGAAGTTGGCACGTGCTTTTTCAATTCTGACTCTTATTTCTGCAGTATAATTGTTATTTTCTGTGATTATCGTTACCAAGTAAGTATATTTTTACTCTCTCAATCTGCTGACCGCCTACCGTTAATATTTCGTTTGTATTGTTGTTCTTACTAATTTTCATGTATTTGTTTTTTTTTATGTTAAGAGAGAGTCCGTATTCTCCACTATATCTTAATATTTTGTTCATTCACTTTGGCATGGTTCTTATTAATATTCGATCGATTAGAAATAATACAGACGAATTATTTTTGTTTCTGGAAGAATTAGGGTTTCCCTAGTTAGTTGCAGTGACGGAACACTGGCTTGAAGTTAATGAGCCATTTTCATTCAAGAATATACCACAATTGCTAGGTATGATCGTCCAAGTTCAGCTCATGGTGGCACTCTGATTCTTTCAAATAACAATGATTTTTCTTCTGTTTCGAAATATGACTATTTGCTGGGTGAAAACTACTTCGAATTTTCTTTGATTTATAATAAGAAATTTAATCTATACATTATTTTGCATTTATAGATCACCTAGCTCTGATACTGAACTATTTTTTCAGAGCCTGCTAAATTTGTTAGATATTAAATGCCCATTAAAAGCAGAAAAATTTTATGTGGTGATTTTAATATTGACTACGCTGCTGTTTGTGCGACCCAACTGTCTTTGGTAACTATTTTTGAATCATATGGTCTCACAATGCACGTTAATTCTCCAACAAGAATCTCAAAAACATCATCCTCGACAATTGATTATGTGGTTTCCGATTTTCCACCCGCTGACGTCCATTCTACAGTTATTAGTGGGGGGCTTTCTGATCATGAAGCGGTATATACCAAGTTTAGCAGTTTACAAACACCTCACTCAAAAACCCGACGATTAGGTAGGATTTTTTCCACTCAAAACTTTCGTAAATTCTATAATTCATTTCCTCTATTAAACATCAGGCCAAAACATAACAAACCTTGGATTACCAAAGGCATTCGCATATCTGCGAAAAATATGCGTTCTCTGCTATATATTAAAAAATTTAATGACAGTATCCCCATCTCTGATTATATCAATAAGTACAGAAAATGCTATATAAAACTACTTAAAGTAGCCAAAAAACCTACTTTCATAATCGCTTAACAAGCTCCAAAAATATTTCAAAAGAAACTTGGTCAATAATAAACGATTTTCGAAATAAAACCAGTACAGCGAATCAAACCTTTTCTTTTCCTAACCCCGAAAATCTAAATGATTACTTTGTTAATGTGAGTAAAAATATAACCTCAACTATTTCGCTACAACAAGATCCAGTTTCCTATCTCTCTAATTCAAAAAACATTGCTGATACCTTCTTTTAAGACCAGTTGATAAGACGGAACTCATTTCAACAATTCGTAGTATAAAAAGCACATCGTCCTGTAGTACAGATGGATTATCTATTAAAATTTTCTCAAATCTACAGCATAATGTTTTGGAGGTCATGGTCTCGCTAGTAAATGATTCCCTTGAAAAAGGTACATTCCCTAACTGCCTAAAGACTGCCATCATCATTCCTCTTCATAAAGGTGGAGAAAAATCTGATGCCTGCAACTATAGACCTATTGCCTTGTTACCAGCACTATCAAAAATTATTGAAAGACTTATAAAAGTTCGACTTATGCCCTTTTCCTTAAATATAATATTTTATCGCAAAATCAGTTCGGCTTTTTGTCTAATAAATGCACTAGTGATGCCATATTTTCTGTGTTACATGATGTATATCTATCACTAAACAATAACCTCTCCTCCGCCACCGTTTTCTGCGACTATTCCAAAGCCTTTGACTGCGTAAATCACGACATTCTATTAAAAAAATTAACTTTCTATGGAATTCGGGGTGTGTCTTTGAACTGGTTCAAAACTTACTTGGTAGGTAGGAAACAATTGGTTAGAATAAGTGACACCGACTGTAGTTGTAAATATATTGAGTGTGGAGTACGCAAGGTTCAGTATTAGGTCCCATTCTTTTTTACTTTTCATTAATGCCATCACTTACTTGAAAATTAAAGGGAAAATTTTTCTATTTGCTGATGATACCAGTATTACTTGGAGCAGCTCTGATATTTCAACGCTTCATTCAATTATAACCGCTGATTTACTTATAATCAAGGCTTGGTCAGACTCCAACTTACTTAGCTTTAACGTGGATAAGACTGTAGCGTTATCTTATAAAGGAGTCATGCAACCCTTGCTTTTGAATGAGAGCCAAATCAATATCGTAAATTTCGTGAAATTTCTAGGTATTCTCATTGACAGTGATCTCAAATGGTCCTTGTATACTGACTCCTAAAGGAAGAAACTAGCCCCAGCTTGCTTTGCAATAAGATCTGTTTCGAAGGAACTAAATTTATCTTCTGCCAAAATGGCATATTTCTCATTGTTTGAGTCACATCTTCGATATGGGCTTCCATTTTGGGGTTCTAGTACAGCGGCCCAATTTGATACTATTTTTAAGTTGCAAAAAAGAGCAATCAGTTATCTATTTGGTCTCAAACAAACAACTCATTGCAAGACCTACTTCAAAAATCACGGAATTTTGACGCTTCCCTCTTTATTTATTTTGGAAACAGTTTGTTTGATTCGAAAGCATCTAAACATTTTTCCCGATAGACCTGACCATGGCTACTCCATTAGAAATTCGGATTGTAACGTTTATTTGCCGATCCCGTCCACTCACCTAGTAAAGAATTCTATTCTATATCGTGCAAAGAAACTTTATAATCACCTTCCAAGAGAAATTAAATCCGCAACATCCTTCATTAAGTTTCGTAAGGTGACAAAAATCTATCTCTCAGAAAGACCATATTATTCAGTTGACGAGTTTCTTAAGGTATAACAAAGAAACAAAATTAGTATTGTTTATAATTACATTTGGGTGTCTCAAGCAGTGGCTACAATTTGTCTCATTTGTTGTTGTCTGTACAAATTATGTAGGTTATACAATAATTTTACTAATTTAAAATTGTGTTATTCTGTTTTTTACTATATTTGTTTTTGTTTTATACTTTCTGTACTATTTGACTGATTTAATTTTTTAGCTTTGTCCATAAAATTGTTCAATAATTTTCAGTGACAATAAAGCATTCTATTCTATTCTATTCTTCTTTCTAAGTCTTCCAAGTTGTCAGCTATACAGTATGCAACCTTGCCTGACCCCTCTCCTACTCTCCACTTCTTCTGACACTTCTCGTCCAATTTTCACATTTGACCGTAGTAGTATAAGTTTGATATCAATGTTACATCCCTCACATTCAGATTCTTGTTTTTGAGTACTTCTATAAGTCGGCAATGTTTTACCTTATCGAATGCCTTGTTGTAGTCTATAAAGCATTCATAAAGATCTCGATTAACATCCAAACGTTTTTGTCAGCACGTTAAAAGGAAATAGTGCCTTTCTTGTGCCCACTCGGTTCTGAAATCCAAACTGGGAATCACTAATATCTATCTCTAGCTTAGCGTGTATTCTATTATGGATGATAGCAGGGTTTTTAAGGTATGTGACAGACTGATTGTTCGATAATCACTACATTATTTGGTATTTACTTTCTTTGGCAGACAAATAAATAATAAATAAATAAATACCATCCAATAATAAAACGATTGGTACTACTGAAATAATGACACTTAATGTAAAAACTATTTGAAGTCAAAGAAACTTTTACATCCAAGATATTCACCAATTTGTTGACACAGAAATTGATGAATAAATTCATGAATTTATTCGTGAATTGATTGTTGGTGTAAAGCCCGCATTACACTCAATTGTGGCTTAAACTTATATAAATCTGTGGTGTTTGGGAGAAACATGATAACTCCAAGATAGCGAAAATTTTGTTAAGTCTTTTGTTTTTGATCTATTTTCGTTTGATCTGACTAGGGTATGTCTATCACGTCTAGAAAATGAGACACGGCTTGGTATAACATATTATTCAAATTTTGTTTGGTATAGTCCTGTTAAAATATTATATCATGTACCTGAAAACAAAACTAAACAATAACGTTTTGGTTCATATCTGATAATTGGTACTTATCATGTCTAGATCAAATAATATGCACATTCTTTTGGTAAAACATTTTGGTCCATACGTGATAATTGGTACTTATCATAATTATATCAAATAATATGCAAATTATTTCGGTAATTTTTTGCTACGTCCCACTTTGATTCAAAAAAATATTATATTTTTCATATTTTTCATAAAAGTGGCATTTTCTGTAAGTTTTTTTATGTAAGTTGTAAATAACATGAATATATCAAACTTTTCTTTTCATTGTTTTGTACTTATCATAATTATTCATGAGCATTTGGTCGTATTCATGAACGTGTCGATTGCATTGTGTTAGTGTTAAGGTCTATCGACTTAGTTAGTTACACTTAGTCAGTAAGTCAGTATTAAAGTCAGTTTGTCTAAATCTTTCGAAGGCGAATGACGAATTAAATGCGATCGAGTAATTTGGTAAACATGGTTTTATAATACAAGTTTTCGTATTACAAAAATAATTGAGATGTGTTTATTAGAAAACGAACAGTCGTCTTCTAATAATGTAAGTATTAAGTTTGATAGTGTAGAACTGACTGATATTGAGTCAGCTTCATATCAGGGCCCCTCTGGAAGTAAAGAAAGCAATTTGCACGTTTTAAAACCAGCACTATCTTAAAGACCAGCACCAGTAAATCTTAAAGAAAAGACTCATCTGCTGAATCTATTAGCGTCTGAAGTAACTTCCGGTGATAGTTTGAGTTCTGGATCTAGCAATTTGTGGGAACCATCAAATTCTGAACGTGAACATGAAAAAGCTGATTTCGAAGACCCTCAAAACAAGTTAGATGATCACTTTCCTTTGGCGCAAATAAGAATAAAAAAAGGAAGAAAGGGCCAGGGTCCAATGCAACGGAAATTTAGAAAAGGTCGTTCTGTTGAAAAAGAAAAGGTGAGGAATACATTATTGCTAAAGGTAAGAGCATTTCAGCTCAAGTTTCAATACCTGTGTCCACAAACTTTTAAGCAAAATGTCATGAAAAGACTGCCTGTGTTGATCTAAAGCAAATTTTTAGAGACTACGGAAACCTGTCAACTATGGATACACAGAAACGTTATTTGGCTAGTTTAATAACAGTAAAACCTAAAGAAATAACACGGCGTGGTAACTCAGTCAAAAATAGGTAATTTACAGTTCTTTATAAGTTGGAGAATATGGATGGTAATATCTGTAAATGTTGCTTTTTGAAAGTATTTGGCGAAACCAGAGGTTTCTTAGATGACGTTGTTAAAAAAAGAAAGCATCTTCTACTTCTATCTAAGTTTAAGAAGCCATCTAATGACACTTGCAAAACCTGTGATTTATTATTTCTGAAGATAAAAAGCTGTGCCTCCGAAGAAGAAAAACAAAGATTAGAAAATGAAGGCCAACAATATCAGAATAATGCTTCCTTTCATTATACAACAAAACAAGGCGACAATAAAGAAAGTATGCGGAGCTTAGACAAGCTTGTAGTAGTTACATTTGATTTGCAGAAGTATTTGGCTACACCTAATTTGACATCTAGTGTGGCTTTCTATAAAAGAAAGTTATGGACTTTTAATTTGACGATCCGCAATATCACCACAAAACGGACATCGTGTTATATGTCGCATGAAGGTGTAGCTTAACGAGGAGCTGATGAGATCGCATCTTGCTTATTTCAGTTTATTAGAGACTTAGCAGAACAGGTAGAAAAAGTAGTCCTTTATTCTGATTCATGCCCCGGTCAAAACCGAAATAATATATTACCGACTATGTTTTTAAAAGCACTTAAACGAAAGGAAACTCTAGAAGAAATTCATCATAAGTTCCTAGTTCCTGATCATACTCATTTAGAATGTGATACATGCTACCATAGAGAGATTTGTGAAAAAAGAAACGCCACAATTTCAGGTCCACAGGACTGGGTATCAGTAATTAAAATGACGAGCCCTCATTTTGATGTAAAATTTATTAAACAAACTGACTTTTTCAGATTTTACAAACTTCTAACAACGCATTTTATAAAAAGAAATGTTGATAAAGATAAAAATTCTTTTGTTTGAAACAGCGTATTTTGGCTACATTACCAAAAGGATAGTTATATAGGCTTTAAATACACATTAGATCTCAACGAACTGTTTCGTTCAATGTCCATGCTAAGAAGAGGCAGGTCAACTTCCATGTCTAATATTCAGACACTTCCAGCTTATAGTGATCCTCTACCCATACACTATTTGAAATATAAAGATATTCTCGACCTACTACCCTTTATAGGTCCAATCTATCATTGAATTTGCCATTCTCCTAAATACACTCAAACCAGTACCACACAATATACAAGCGACAGTGATGAAAATTTCGACGCTTAAGTTTTAATTAGGTGCAAGTAAAGCCATATATTTCCACAGCACTGTTTTCCAATACAAAGAAATTGACCAATAATAGTTTGAAGTTCTTTCCTCTTTGACCGTTATCTCCATTAAAATAAATACTTTTTAAATCTCTATATTTTTGATACAAACATGATATGTGCCAATATATCAAAAACAGAAATGTTAAAACATATTTTGTTTGTTACATCTGTTATAGCACTTAATAAAGTATTTAATGAAATATATTTGGTTTTTTATTTTGTTGCCTTCGATTTAAGAAACTTTCTGGAATGTTAAAATTGCCCTACTGAAAAACATACATTTTGGAGTTAACATATGTCTTCCAAACACCACAGAAATATATTTATCCATGATTTACGTTATAGAAATGACTTGTAGAGATCTAGACCACTCTAGACGTGAAAACCTAATCCTAAAAATATGACTTCTTTTTAAAAAGTAAACATCTATTACGTATAATACTAAATATCTATTACGTATAATAATTAATTAAAATTTGCCAAACATTATTGCAGGTATGTCAAGCAAATATGATTATCAAAAAACGATTAGAAGCAAATCGTTTTTACGACTTTACAATAGAATCAAAAAACCAAAGAGGTGAAACCTCCTTACTCGACTGTTCATTTCGTGCCACAAACGCAACAACCCCCCTGGAGAAAATTTTTCCGGGTGCGCCAAGTCTTCTTTCAATATCTGAAAGTGCAAGGAGAAACACTGAACTTGGAACAATCCGAGCAACGGGGAATCCAAGACGTCCTACGCCAGCTCTATTAGAATTATGGGGTTCGCCCGAGTTTGGACTTCATCAGAAGTTAGTGACTGACAGAGATGCTGAAGGGACTGTTGTACTACTCAGCTCTTTGGATTATGAGAAGAAGACTGTACACCACCTTACAATTTTTGCAAATGTAAGTAATGTTATTTTTATATTTTGTTAGCTAGAGTTAGAGTTGAATTTAATTAACTTATTTAAAACTTTTATTCGAAAAAACATTGACGTGCAAACAACAAATTATTATTCATTAGAACCATAAAAGGAAAACATTGCGTGAAACTTCCAATGAATTGACTGTAGCAACCACTACTGTATTTAATATAATTACGAAATATGGCGAAACTGCCAATATTCATGTTTGCGGCAAAACCTCAGGCCGTCCAAAAGCTCTTTCTCAAAGGAATATAAAACATTGAATTAGAATACGTAAGTCAGGAAGAAGAAATATACTACGAGAAGTAACTACTTAAAGAAATAGAGAAATTGGGATGAATATTTCTAGAGAATCCTATAGCAAATTTATCCACAAAAGCGTTCTTAGTTTTATAAGGTATGTTTGATAGGTTCTTCTTTGCCATATAAATTTTCTATTCTTTGATTTATTCGAGTAGTCCAAAAAGAAACTATTACTGACAGAAACTCAAAACAGAAATAGTCTCATTTGGGCTGAATATCAAAACTTCCGTGGACCAAACATAACTAGAACAATGTTATCTATAGCGACGAAAACAAATTTGATGTCGGTGTGGGAGATTATTGAAAGCATGTAATTCGGGAAAACGTGTGATTCAAGAAGCATTCCATAAGGATTTTCTCAAAAGAACTGTAAAGTTTCCACAGGACATCTTAGTGTGGGGTTTTTGTCTCGGCCAAAGAGTTGGGAACTTTACATTTTATTGAGGCTATAGTAAACGCAGCCAAATATCAAGATATCCTTGAATATTCGTTTCTACCAAGTGCGGCAAAGTCATATCCACCCGGGAATTTTATCTTTCAGCAAGAAGAAAGCTTCATGCCATATGGCTAAATCTACTAAAAAGTAGAAAGAAGCGGGATCTTCTCTCTCTCTCTCTTTCGGGAGAGAAGCGGATCCTAATCCCTAAATCCTACCCACCAACCCAGACCTACCCAAATCCTTCCCTTCCCTCCTCAACCCGCACTGGACCAGCGTGAGGAGATAACGGTCCAAACCTTCAAGTCAATGTACAGGACAAAAAAGAAAAGGCCCCCAGTGCCCAGCACTTCCCAGAGTCTTGATCACGGCAGCGATCAAACAACTAACGGAAGGGGGGGGGTGCTAAGAATCCCTGGGTAAGACCCGTCTGCCACAAGATGACAATTTGGCTATGCTCCTACAATATTCGAACACTGACGGACGACAATAGATTCCCAGAAATAGAAAGTGAACTAAAGGATATAAAATGGGATATCCTTGGTATATGCGAGACCAGAAGAAAAAGTGATGAGTATATAATACTAAAAAATGGCACACATTTTATGCATAAAGGTAGCGAATACACTGGAGTGGGATTCTTGGTAAAACAAAGCCTCACACAGTGTATCGAAGAATTCAAGCCCATATCAGACAGAGTAGCATATCTCATCATCAGGATTAATAAAAGAACCACTCTGAAAGTGATCCAAGTGTACGCTCCGACCAAAAGCCACGACGATGAAGAAGTAGAAATATTTTATGATGAAATAAGAACAGCTATAAAAAAAATAAAGCAAACTACGACATACTATTAGGAGATTTTAATGCTAAATTGGGCAAAAAAGAGGAAGATTATGAACATTTAATTGGTAACTATGGCTACGGGAAAAGAAACGGTAGAGGAGAAATGCTTCTCAATTTCATGAATGAACATAACATGTACTCAATGAACTCCTTTTTCAATAAAAAACCAAGCAGAAAATGGACATGGATGAGTCCCGATAAAAAGACAAAGAATGAAATAGATTATATCTTAACGAAGAATAGAAACCTAGTAGAAGACGTATCAGGATTAAATCAGTTTGACCTAGGAAGCGATCATAGACCAATAAGAACAAAACTAATAATTAACAAAAAACTAGAAAGAAAAAGAATACATGAAAAAAGATACAAATGGACATCTGAAGAAATCAAAAATAGTGAATTTAATAAAAAGATAGTGCATGCATTAAATCAAGTTAGCATGCAGCAGATAAACTCCAATGATATTGATGATTTGAATAACCTTATTACCGAAACAGTGAATAAAAGCCTTCTGCAACTGAAAAAACCAAAAACAACTATTGAAAAAAATAAGAGTATGAAATGCCTCAGACCGACACTAGGACAACGTCAGATGATATCATTAATGGGAAAAGACGAAAATGAAATCACAACTAGAGAAAACATACTGACACGAATAGAAGAATTTTACACAGAACTTTACAGATCACATCAACAAGATGATGAGATGAGACCAGCACGGAAATTAATAAAAAATGTTGGATCAGAAATAATGCCAAAAGTAACAATTTCAGAGGTAACTACAGCATTGGAAACTATGAAGAGAAAGAAAGCTGCAGGAGAAGATAGTATTACCACAGATATATTAGAAGGAGGTAAGGAACTAATTGCAATTGTAACTAAGCTTGTGGACAGTTGTTTACATCAGGGCAAAGTCCCTAAGAGCTGGAACAACTCTAAAGTAATCTTACTACACAAGAAAGGTGATAGTCGAAAATTGGAAAACAATAGACCCATCAGCCTACTGTCACTCCTGTTTAAAATACTCACCAAAGTCATAACTACTCGACTAACAAGGAAATTAGAAGAATACCAACCATATGAACAGGCAGGTTTTAGAAAAGGCTATTCAACTTCCGATCACCTGTTAACCACAAAAATATTAATAGAAAAATGTAACGAATACAAGTTTCCAGTTTTCCTAGCATTCGTAGACTACGAAAAAGCTTTCGATACCATAGAACACACGGCCGTAATAAACGCAATGCAAAATTGTAGAATAGACAGCAGATATATTAACTTAATAAAAGAAACTATGAACCAAGCTACAGCTACATACTACCTAAATGAAAATGAACACACGAACCCTGTACCATTAAACAGGGGAGTCAAACAGGGAGATACTTTATCACCCAAATGTTCACCTTAGTTTTGGAGGACGTTTTTAAAAACCTAAATTGGAAATATAAGGGAATAAACATCAATGGCCGCTACCTCAGTAATCTACGATTTGCAGATGACATAATCCTGATAGCTACTGACCTACAAGAAATGCAAACCATGCTTTTAGAACTACATACCGAATCTTCTAAAATAGGACTGAAAATCAATTTAAACAAAACAAAAGTCATGCACTCCGAAGACACCGTGACAATAATAAACGATAAATAAGGAAATTCAAACTGAACAAATAAAAAGAAGAAGAAAGTTGGCTTGGGCAGCATTCGGTAAACTGAACTATATACTCAGAAATCAACAAATTCAATTACATCTTAGATCTAAAGTTTTTGATGTATGCATTATTCCGATATTAACTTATGCGGCACAAACATGGACAATCACAAAAAAGAATATGAATATATTAGAGTCACTCAACACGCGATGGAAAGAGCAATGCTAGGTATATCACTTAAGGACAAGAAAACCAACACATGGCTAGGAGCGATCTAAACAAATGGCACAGATCAATTTTAACCTGGACACCATACCAACACAAAAGACCCAGAGACAGACCTCCTATGAGATGGATACAATGATCTGAAAAGGACTGCCGGGAAAAATTGGCTACAAGTAGCGTACAATAAAAAACAATGGAAAGGAAGACTTGAAGAGGCTTATGTTCAGATGTGGACGTGAATGGCTAGACGAAGAAGAAGAAGAAGAAGACTAAAAAGTAGATGGGGTAACATGACATTACAGTTTTGTCACATCCTTCTAGAAGCCCGGATCTCAATCAAATAGAGACACTTTGGCACAAAATGAAACAACGCCTAAGAAATAACCCTCAGTGTAATTTGCCACAACTACGTGCTAAATTACAAGAAATATGGGATAGTTTCACCCCTGAATTCAGTAAAGGCCTAGTTGATACAATCCTTAATATATTTTAGGATGTTATTCAAGCTAAGTGCGACGTTACGCCTTATTAATTTTTATTTTAATTTGTAAAAATCCTTTTGTTCCAATATTTAGTTGTCAGCATTGTTTGGCTGTCAAACAATTAATTAAATAGTAATCAACATAAAATATATAATTAAACTGTAAAAAAAATTCCATACAACATAACAAATGCTGTTAATTTCATATTTACAATTAAAAAAAATTAAAATAAAAGAATTGGTATTTTATTCGCAAGATAACTGCTTGTTCCAAGATATAGTTGTTAGGGCTCTTAAAGAAATTTAACATCTGTCTAAAAATAAAAAAAGAAAAAATTAAACGCCTTTATGCTAAAAACACAAACAAAAACTAAAATTACGCAAGTAGGTACTAACATTAGTAGAAAGTAAGACACTTAAGCGTATTTTGCCCTTACAGCAATGGTAATAACCATTCGAACAGCCTTTTATCAGCTTTTGAACATCTTTGAACAGGTCTAGAGCGGGTCTCAAACAGGTTTTGAATAGTTCTAGAAGAAGTCTAGAAGAGGTTTAGAATAGGTCTAGAACAGGTCCACAGAGAGAAAACTTACCTGTATCCTGCTTAAATTCGGTGTTGTTTTTTAATGATTCAAAATGAAAAGCAAACAATTTAATTTATCGAATTTTTTGCTACCGTTAAAAAATATTTAAAATAAAATTCCATAATTTTATCTTTTAAAACATTAAAAAAGCTTGAAAATGGCGTAGACGAGATGTGCCATATACGGCACATATTGTTGATTCTTCGTTCACAAAAACACGTTACTATTGTATTTATCAGATTTTAATATTAAAAATATGGGAGTTTGCATAACGCTATAGACTTCTTCTTCTTCTTTTTATGTAGATATGACTCTGTTTTTCAATGTGTCTCCAGTAAGTTGTCATTCCATCGTTTTTGTGGTCTTCTTAGTGATCGTCTTTCTATTGGGGAACCATTGGCGATCCCAGTTCTTGATGTTTCCCACCTTGCACCTACGTCGTAAATCTGTACTTCTAGCTCTGCCTCATAATGTCTTACCATTAATTTTTCATCTCTGCTGTTTCTAACATCTTTTTTGTCCTTTCTGTGTCAGGTTGTGTTTCTGCCACGTATGTCATTAATGGTCTGATGACTGTTTTGTAAATTCTGACTTTCATTTCTTTTCCGATATTTTTATTTCTCCATATTGTTTTATTCAGGAACCTGCGGCTCTGTTTGCTCTATTTACTTGATATTTCACCTCAGTGTCGAGCTTTCCGTAGTTAGACAATGTGATGCCTAGATATTAAAATTCCATAACTTGTTCTGTTATCTAACCTTCCAGCTCCAATTTACATCCTAGTAAATTTTCTGTTATAACCATGCATTTTCTCTTTTTTGAGGAAATTAACATATCAAAGTTTCTGCATATTTCATCAGCATATTTTTGTTGAATTAATTGTAGTTATTAAAATATAGTTGTCCAATATCAAATCTTCAGAATTCATATCCGAAATTGGACAGTATAATTTTATCACCCAGTAGACCGAATGAATTTATTTGTTATTAAATACACACACGTAGTTAATTAGGTTACATACGGATTTGGTCAATTATCAACAATATAATTTGGACATCAGTCAAAAGTGCTGACAAAGTTAAACAATTTACATAAATTAGACACACATATCACGCGAGGCCCGCGAATATATTGACCCAATTAAAACTTATATAAAACTAATATCTCTTGCCTAGAGAAGCATTCAATCAATATTCACTCAACAAACTTGATAGTCTTCAGCGATCAACTGCAACAGTCTCTACTCAAAGTAATCCCGGGTCAACACCCATAGTGTACGTCTCATCAATAAACTCTGCTACTATTATTTGGTGTTTCCATTACAACTGAACGAACATCTCCACTGAGCCATCGAAGGGGAATTTGTTCATGGTCCTTCGAGTCGGATTTGAACCAGCGATCTATGGATCAACAATGTTCAACCATGAACAAATTCCCCTTCGTTGGCTCAGTGAAGATGTTCGTTCAGTTGTAATGGAAACAATAATAGTAGCAGAGTTTATTGATGAGACGTACACTATGGGTGTTGACCCGGGATTACTTTGAGTAGAGACTGTTGCAGTTGATCGCTGAAGACTATCAAGTTTGTTGAGTGAATATTGATTGAATGCTTCTCTAGGCAAGAGATATTAGTTTTATATAAGTTTTAATTGGGTCAATATATTCGCGGGCCTCGCGTGATATGTGTGTCTAATTTATGTAAATTGTTTAACTTTGTCAGCACTTTTGACTGATGTCCAAATTATATCGTTGATAATTGACCAAATCCGTATGTAACCTAATTAACTACGTGTGTGTATTTAAAAACAAATAAATTCATTCGGTCTACTGGGTGATAAAATTATACTGTCCAATTTAGGATATGAATTCTGAAGATTTGATATTGGACAATAGTCGTTATTTTTAAAACTTGTGGTTTGTATTGCTATATATAAAAGAAAACTAAAACTTTCCAACATATTGATTATTTTTTTCTAACTCCACCTATTTCAATAATGCGTTTTACTACAAATCAGGTTTTTTTATTAATGAATTCTAAATGAATAAATCGACAACACTTATATTTAATTTGTAGAGTTATGTAAACTTTCAATATAGTAACTTTTTAAAAATTATTCTTTCAGAATATCAAAATATGTTTTTAAAATTACTTTTCCAGGATCCCTGGACCAACATGGCCGAAGATACGAGAAATATAGCAGGTTGGCCATTGTTGATATCAGTATTAGATGAGCAAGATACTCCTCCTGTGTTTACCATAGCACCCCCAACAACCACTCTTAGTCCAAATTTAAGTTCAGGTGATTTAATACTCAGAGTACATGCCGAAGACGGCGACAAAGGAAATCCAAGAGATATTCGCTATGGACTCGTTCCAGATAAAAATCCGTTTGTCACATTTTTTAGCATAGACGAGACAACGGGTAAGTCAAATTTGATTTTATACTTTAGTTTCTTATTGTTATGAATTTTAGTTAATGATTGTTAGTGATATAAAATAGGAAAAGTTTTGGTGAGTGTATAGATCGATACAACATAGTTCCGGTAAAGACAAGAGAAATTAATTTTTGAACTCGGGGGTGAGAGAGCAGTGATAGTTATTACAAAACTAACCCTTAAGGAAACTATTTAGAATTATTTAAAAAAGGAATTTTTAAAGCATGTAATTGAAGAATTACTTGGGGTACAACAATGGGAAATGGAAGCTCATGATCGTAGAAGATAGAGGGCTAGAGTGGATGCCGCGAGTACTCAAGACCCTTAAGCTGGCGGGGACAAATGAGCGGAATCAAATGATAACCTACGTAATATTTTTTTCACCCATGTTTTCACTAATTTATTAACACCTTATAATTTTTTCCACCAAACCACCTTAAGGAAAGCGATTGTGCTGTCTTAAAGCGGTAAAAACTAGCAGAACTAGGCTTACAGTAAAATTTAAGATGAAAAAATATTCTTTTACACTTTCACTCCCCTCTACTTATAACTTATATATAAAAAAGTGTTCTGTTAACTTTATACTAAACTTTGATCACCATGATAATTTTTCACCCCTAAACCAATCTTATTTGAAAACTATTTCCTGCTAACTTAATATTCAAGCCAGCGGAATTAGAAAAATTATTTTTGAATACCCAGTGTTCTTTAGTTTTTTATGAAAAGTCAACAATAACAATTCTTAGGATAAAATTTAAGGTGATGAAAAATCTATTTTTATAATTTTACTGTACTCTATCAATCAATAATTCTGTTACGTTAAAATTTATGGCGATTTTTTTTATATTTCACTGTACTCTACTTATAATTACCACGTATCATGTTGTGCATGAACGCTACATTGTATCATGAACGCTACATCAAGTATACGACTGCACGAAGACACAGAAAAATTCAACTTAGGTCGAGGAGTTAGACAAGGAGACAATATTTCACCAAAATTGTTCACGGCAGCTCTAGAGTCAATATTTAAGAGTACTCAATGGCAAGATATGGGCATCAATATAGATGGAGAAAGATTAAATCACCTAAGGTTTGCAGATGATGTTGTATTAATCGCAGATAACTTACATGATACAGTTTCTATGATGCATTCGCTTAAAAGTCTGTCTGAAAGAGCAGGATTAAAGATAAACTTTGAGAAAACTAAAATTATAACAAATCTCGTAATGAGTGGAAATATAACTATTGACAATAATACCATACAACAAACAGACACTTACAAATATCTGGGACACGAAATCAAAATAAGCAGAGACAATCAAACACATGAAATACAGAGGCGAATAGGTCTAACATGGGCAGCATTTGGCAAATTAAGCCATATTCTAAAAAGTTCAATTCCCATGTGTCTCAAGCGAAAGGTTTATAACCAATGTGTTTTACCTGTACAAACTTATGGAGCAGAGACTTTAACACTCACGCAAAAATCTGCGAATAAACTTAGAGTTACACAACGAGCCATGGAACGTGCAATGCTGAACGTGAGCCTTCGAGACCACATAACAAACCAACAAATCAGGCGAAGATCAGGAGTTCAAGACGTCATCGAAAGAACCACGACGCTTAAGTGGAACTGGGCAGGGCACTTAGCCAGAACACAAGATGGACGGTGGACAAGACGTATTATGGAATGGAGGCCCAGAAATTATAAAAGAAGCCGAGGACGACCACCGACTAGATGGACCGATGACATTAAACGTGTAGCGGGAAACTGGCTACAAGCGGCCCAGTGTAGAGAACACTGGAAAGAACTGAGGGAGGCCTATGTCCAGCAGTGGACGCGATTGGCTGATTGATGATGATGATGTTGTGATAGCTTTTATAAATTTATTACCACCCTAGTAATTTTCACCCCTTAACTACTCCTTATAAGAAGACAGTATTAAGCTATTAAGCAGAAAAATTTCGTGCCTGGCCTTAAAACGGCTCATCCACCGACTCGATGCTTTAAAATTCTCATCACCACCTAGCGCCTGCAAAAGCTGTGTCTTTTTTGAAGCAGTGGTTCACTTATTGGAACATTCGCAGCCCTGTTTACGGTAAACCATTTGACCATTGCAGTATCGAGTTCTTTATTAGTTGCGGCACGTAGTTTTTTCGATTTACCGGAAAAAGACGAACCAGCTTCGAAAATCTTGTGTTTATTTTTGAGCATGGTAGATAGAGTGGAACTTGAAATTCTTCTTTCACGACAAACTTCTGCTTTCTTCTTACCGTCTACCTTAGGATGTTAATTTTTTCTAAGTAAGCTTTCTTTAGGTCATAGTGTGTAATTATGTGACTATGTAATCTACAACACAACTTTCAAGACGCGAAAGCACAATCAGGAAACAAACGATAAACATCAACGACAAAAACAACTGTGAAATGAAATTCTGGTGAAATTTGTTTCATTTGTCATGTTTTTAAGCCTCTTTACGTAGTTTATTAGGTGCGAATGGTCAAACTCCTACACTGACACTTGTGAATCATAAATTGTAAATTTCCGACAACACAATACCGGTCAGTAGATTAAAAAGAAGTTGATTGGGGCGGCAGTTGGCTAATGTATCTCGTTATAAACGAAAACTTGTAATAACCGTGTTCATTATAGAGGGAGTATACTATACTTAAAAACTATGAAGAAAAGCAGCAGGTAAAGACGGGATACCAAACAAGTTACTGAAATATTGTGGAGCAGCAATGATAGAACAATTAACAACATTAATTAATACAATTATAAAACATATTAAAACACCGGAAGAATGGAGAACGAGCGAACTAATTCTACTATTCAAAAAAGGAGATAAAAAACAGCCAGAAAACTACAGAGGTATAAACTTGCATCTGTTAAATACTACGCTAAAACTTACAACTAAAATTTTACAAGTGCTAATAAATCAGAGGATAAGTTTAGCAGATGAACAACAGGGTTTTCGTAGTGGAAGATCGTGTACAGATGCAATATTCGTTATAAAGCAAATTACTGAGAAATCACTAGAGTATAATAGACCAGCATTTCTGTGTCTGATTGACCTAAAGAAAGCGTTTGACAGAGTAAGACTCAAAGATGTAATCCATCTTCTGTATAATAGAGAAGTACCCTAAATATTATAAAAACTATCGAAAACATCTACCAAAACAACAAAATGGAAGTCAGAATAGATGGACAACTTACAGAACCTATAGAAATAGGCAGCGGAATAAGACAAGGGGATTCATTGAGCCCCATGCTCTTCAATTTGATCATGGATGAAATCATCAAAACGGTTAACAAAGAAAGAGGATACAGAATGGGAAACAAAGAAATCAAAAACCTGTGTTACACAGACAACTCAATATTGATAGCCCAAGATGAAGGTAGTTTGCCTAGACTGGTCCACAGATTTAACATAAGAGCAAAAGAATTTAATATGACAATTTTATCTCAGAAAACTAAAACAATAGTAGTCAGCAAAGAACCAACCAGATGTAAAATAGAAATTGATGGCATCAGTATTGAACAAGTAATGGAAATAAAATACCTGAGAATTACACTGTCCAGCTATGAAGACCTGGACAAAGAACTGAGAGATCAAGTAGAAAAAGCAAATAGACTGGCAGGATACCTGGCGAAACAGACACAATGACACTGAGATGAAGTCAAGAATTTATAAAGCCAGTGTAAGACCAATAATGACATATGCCTCAGAAACAAGACCCGATACCACCACAACGCAAAGGCTACTGGAAACGACAGAGACGAGAGTTCTGAGAAGAATTACAGGAAATACTCTGAGAGATCGAAAGAGAAAAAATGAAGACATTAGAAGAATATGTAACGTACATTGTATAAATGAATAGACACAAAATAGAAAAACAATGGAATAACCACATAAACATAATGGAGGAGACCCTTGTCGTCAAAATAGAAAGAGATAAGTCACCAATCGGTAGAAGAAGTATTGGAAGACCGCGCAAAAGATGGACTGACAACTTTCAATAAAGGTTCTAATCCGCCAATTAACAAGCACAATTGCTTATAAAGAGGAAGAAGAAGAAGAAGAAGAATTAGAAACTTTGTATTAGAATGCTGAACTGTGTGAAATTACCGAAAATAGGCAAAACGTTTTCTGAAAATAAAAGATTTTCCCTGCAACTGGTACCAATATTTTTGTATGGCATTAGCCAAATAATACTTTTTGTATTACCTACCTGAGATATAAATGTCGTATAAAAATGTTTGGCCAAAAAAAAACAACTTACTCTCTTGAGTGGTAAGTTTCTCTTACCTGTGTTTCACATGTACCGATAAGAATTGATGGTATAGTTTCTAAATTTTTTATTACATATTGTAGTATTGATTTATATTGTAATTTATACTGGGTCAAATGGCCCATTAAAAATTTCCCGTGGGCTTGTAGCCTATTAGATTAGAACTGAGAGTAAAAACTCTTGAGATGTTACGTGTTTTCGATACTAAAATATGGACTTGATAGCTGGACACTGAAGCAAGAACACATAAATAAGTTACAATCATGTAGTGTTACAGAAAGATGCCTTAGAACAGCATGGGTACAAAAAAAACGAAGACGAACTATTGCGAAAAATGGGGAAAGAATACGAAATAATAAATACAATAAACAAAAAAGAAGTTACAATGTTTTGGACAACAAAGGCAAACGAAGAAAGACTATGTGTTTGGGAAAGAAAAATCCTAAGGAAGATCTTTGGTCCTGTGCGGGATGAAGCATCAGGACAATATAGGATAAGAACTAATAAAGAGCTCGAAGAACTTTACCCAGACGCCAACATCATAAAAAAAATAAAGTCCAGAAGACTCCAATGGGCAGGACACCTCAGAAGACATCCTGACGAACGAACAGTGAGACTGGTGTGGGAGGAAATCCCAACTGGAAGGAGACCACGCGGACGTCCTCGTCTCCGGTGGCGAGATAATATTATT